GTCCTCCAGCCTGTCCTACTTGATGGCAGAACAAGTAGCTATTTTTTCTCTCAAGTCAGGCATATTGATACCTCAAGCTGCAGAGTCACGGGCGGTGGTGATTATCTTTGTCCCCTCATGCACCAGACAGAACAACACAGTGACTCATGAGAACCTCATCAGAGTCTCTTCAGGTGAATCAGATGGCCGTACTTGCTTCCTGGCTGGCATTATCTACGCTCTGGGTTCCTCCAGATCCCCTCTAAATGTGCGCACTTCTCTGCTTAAGGCTGCTACTAGCAAGATCTGCCATTGTCCCCTCGGCTTCACTTATGCTGCTTTCCAAATCAGCAACAACCTCTAGAGAAACAAGATGGGGATCAGTTAATGAGTGCTGGCTTGTGCTGGCTATGGATTGAACTGTGCCTCCTTCCCCCAGTTTCCTGGTTGAACTCTGACCCTCAGTGCCTCAGGGTAGGACTTATCTGGGGACACAGGCTATCAGAGGGGACCCAGTTTACAGTGTGGTCATCAGGTGGCCTCTGACAGTGGGACCAGTGTCCTGTCGAAGAGGGGATGAAGACACAGACACATGGAGACCAAGCACAGATGCAGGAGCGGTGCCAGCAAGGAGAGAGGAGCCCAACCCTGCTGCGCCTTCAGGGTCCCTTCCAGCCTCTGGAACCTCAAGAACATGGGCTTCTGTCACCTAAGCCGCCTGGTCTCTGAGACTATTACTGCAACTCTAGCAAACAAACAGGGTTTTCAGCGTGCTGGTTACAAGTCAGTTACAGTGGGTTAGAAGCCCACAGACCTTAGGAGCCCAGGGGTGCCGATCCTTTCCTTTACTCCTAATACGATGCAGCACCTGGACCATCACCAGCGAAATGCTGTCTCTGGGCCCAGGACTTTGGAAGGCATTCTAAAGATGGGCTTCCCTTACACGTGTGTGTGAGCATGTGTGTAAGCATGCACTGGCACACTTCCCAGGGCTACCCTCGTGCAGACCGTGGTCAGCTCTAGAGGGGATCTCAGTGCTGCACCTCATCACTGAACCCGGCTGAGCGGCACAGCCCCATGTTGTAACACAGGCAGACAGTTGGGGACATCCAGCAGCTTCTTGGAATCCCAGAGACCAGTACCATTAGGAGAACACTGTCCTGCAATCGCTCACCAGCCTTAGCTAAGACACGAAGATTTGGGCACATTCCGGTGCCGTGACCCTGTGCCTCTCCTGCTCATGACTGGCTGTGGACTCCTCTCTGTGGATGCGAGGGTTATCATGCACAACCCTTCCTGACAGCTCTGCTGCTGCTGCTGGGCTTCAGGACCCTGCCACTCTTGAGCGATTCTGTCTCGAGATACTAAGGACTCGAGGCCACAGACTGCAGTGTCCTTCCCCGGCCAATGATCGCAGTAAAAGCAGACCCTGGGGGATATCCAGACCCACGCGAGCTGGCTGGGTTAACAGGGGGATGAGCTGCTGCTACTGCTCTTACTGCTGCCATTGACCTCGTGCCCACACCAAGCTGCATGGTGAGTCTGCAGGCCAGAGGAAGGTGAGGAACTGGCACTCAGCTGCCATCTGGTTCCCGCCACCGGCAATGTCCAATTAATTAAAAGGGGGAACTCTCAGGAGTGGTGCGGGTATTAAAGCTGGGCCCAACTCAGGGCACAATGCAGTGGCTTTTTTGGATCCTGCTGTTCACACAGCTGTGAGAGCAGGCTGCTGGCCACTCAGACAGTTGGGAACGCTAGACTCCCCTAGGGAAGACCCTGGGCTGGACACCACACCACCAGAGCCCTGCTACTCCACTGCTCGTTCGTCTAGCTTGATCTCAAAAACTGAGGTTTGTAGGTTATGCTGTTGACTAATGCAAGCACTGAGCTAGCATTACAGTTTCCTTACAAAAATCTTACAGCTTTTTTTTTTTTTTTTTTCCAGTGCTGGGGATTGAACCCAAGGCTTTGCATAGGCCAGGCAAGCGGTCTAGTGCTGAGCTGCACCTCCCACCCCATCTTACAGCTTTGAGTGCCAAAAAACCCATGCAGGAGCTATACACTGTATTTATTTGGCTCCGTAAATGATACGGATGCAGCAATTTCCTAAGAGTATACTTTCCACATTTCCCTGGTTCATTTTAAAGCATTTCTCATCCAAGTAGGGAGGTGAAAGAGAGCTGCAAAGCCTCTATCTAATCAGAACGGAGCAGTCACAGACAAACAGACCAGAGATTTACGTCCCCATTTCTACAGAGAACATATCACATAGGACATTACTACATTCATCTAAAACAGCCATAATTCGTGATGCATCAGAACACTGATTTCAACACAGGGCAGACAGTCATCAGGTAAAACTCTCACCAAGTGACTGCATTTTTCTATCACGTGATAATCTTCAGCTATTTATTTTGGGTACAAAGCTGTGAAGCAGATAATTTCATAATATACACATGACAGGATTAAAACTGTGTTGGGGCTTCTCTAAAGGTACAGAAAATAAATTCCAAAAAGGAAATCCCAGGAACAGAGTCACATGACGGGAACCTAACAACTCCCTTTTAAAGACCCATGGGCCCCAGCAGCGCTCCTGGTTCCTTTTGAACATCTAATCAGGTATTTTGATTGCTCTTCCAAAGCACGTTACCTTTAACTGTGGAGAGAGCTTGGTCAGCACCGTATAGGCACGGAGCACCTGGAGCCATGAATCCGCCAAAGGCCGGAAAGGCAGAAAAACACTCGAGTTCCAGCCTGAAACATTAATGACTGTTTGTCTCTTCAATGCTTTCGCTGCAGTTTGAATATTTCATGTGTGTCATACACCACGCTCTTCTGGAGAACTCTACGTCAAAACCAGCACAGAAAATACAAGAAACAGAACTGGTATTTTAACAAAGTGATGAATTTTCGCCATTATTTCAGATATTTTGTAGGATTATTCCTTTGTAGGAAGGAACTGAGTCCAATTAAGATTTTGTCAAATTAATAAATAAAAGTGTTGGTAATTGTTTTCAGTAATGAAGCCTGCAACTTGCAAAATGAATGCATGGGTTTTGATTTTGGAATATACACACCAAGACCTGTCCATCTTAATGGAAGTATACAGGTACCCAAGGGACTGGTCTTATTCGTGGCATTCACGGAAGAATGGAAAGACATTTAATTTACTAAAGCACGCTTCTTTTAAAAACAACTTCCTCATTCCTCATGTATTCCCCTGAATCTTCTAGAACCAACGATGTAGTCTAAGATCTCTCCCAAGTCTTAAATGCTATGATTCTGTGATTCCGGAAGGCAAAATTACATTCCTCCTCCTCGCCCCCCCCCCCCGAAGTCATCTTTGTTATGAAGATTGCAGGACAGCAAAGGTCTTCTCCAAAGACTTCTCATTAGCAACAATTTAAGAAACAAATAACCCGGGCATTCTGGGAGCATCTTCTTTCACAACATTTAAATAAATCCTGCTTGCAAATTAAACTGAGTTGCATCCCCGCCCCCTCAGCTTGTACCGACTCCCACACAGCCTGTCCTAGAGCCAGTGCTGGTGCGGGTGCAGAGAGAGCCTGCACTACAGCCTTGACCTGCTGATGGTGGTGTCTTCCTGCAGCCGTCACACACACCACACCGCTGACTCAGAAACATGCACGACCCGAACCCCAGAAAAGACGGGCTGGCAGGATGGTTCAAGAACTAGGTGACTTTCCCTGTGGTGTGAGGAGGCTATTTGTCTGGAGTCCCAGGGGCTCCACTTCCCCTGAAATTGGCAGAACCAGCATCATTTGATTAGTGTGAAGCACCCTGCTGTGAAAGGGACAGAGGCAGGCAGGGAGGACCTGCTCTCTTCTGATAAGCTGGCTGTTGGGAGACCAAAAGGAGGTCATTGTGGGACTTTTAAAGGAAATAAGAATTTTCTGTACATCTTAAAGGCACTTGTACAGAAATACAGTATCGGTAAGCAAGGCTTAAGGTTGATTCAGGAGAACACAGAACTGGACCGTGGTCAGGAACACATGGGAAGATAAGAGCAGGGAGGCCGCCTGCTGCCAGGAGGAGTCTGAGAATTCACTCACTCACCATGGTGCTGCTCAGACTCTGGGGTTTCTTCCCCTAAAGCTGCTCCCTGGGGCAGTGGGTGAGAAGCTCAGAGACCTGCTCTGCAAAGATAAATGCCCCTGCCCCAGGGGACAAGGGAACAAAAGGAAGTAACAAGGTGGGAAAGGTGACTGACAGCCAGGCAGGGAGAACGCAGAGCCCTTACAGGAGGGCAAGACCCCCACCTCTGCCTCTCTGGAGCACCGTTTTCACCTTACAGGAGAAAGGGGCACGGGAGAGAGCTCCCAGCAGGCAGCTGGCTGCAGAGGAAACCTTTGTGTGCGTGTGTGTGTGCGTGTGTGTGTGTGTGTGTGTGTGTGTCACTAGGGCACACATTTCCACCCTGATCCACACAAAAAGTTCGACCCTCACAGACTGCAGGGCCAGGAGGAGGGCTGAGGTCGCAGGGGTAGAGGGGGAGAAGAGGGGTAGGAGAGTGGAAGGCACTTGGGGTAGAGAAGGGAAAGCTGGAGGGGCAGGGGTAAGGAACAGAGGAGCAAGCGGGGGTGGGGGGATCTGGGGAGGAAGACTGGGGAAGAGAATACGGGGAGAGGACCGAAAGGAAAGGGAAAAGCACAAGAAGGAGAGGGCGTCGCTGAGAGCCCAGCCTGGGAGAGTGACCGCATTGGAGTCCGGGGCACTGTCGGAGCCGGGCTGGGCC